GGAGAATAAAGTGTGATAAAAGGATAAGTGAGGCAGGAGGGTAAAGATGGAGAGAACGAGGCACCGCACATCCACCCTCGAAATGTAGAGGAAAAACGACATTAGCAAAATACGAATGAGAGATACAGCATTACAGAGCCGGGGGGGGGGGGGGGAGCTGAGATCCGAGCCGGCTTAGGATTAACGTGTCATCATTATTTCTTCAATCATTGTTATTATCATTGTCAATATCATTTATTATTATTATTGTTAGTATTAGCTTTGCAAAAGTTGTTGCCTCCATACAAATTATTTTATCGGATAGTTTACTTATTTATTAGATAGTTTGTTTATTTCCAAAGTTAAAATATGTTCGTTTATTTCCAAAAGTAAAATAGGTTCGTTTATTTCCAAAGTAAAATATGTTCGTTTACTTCCAAAAGTAAAATATGTTCGTTATTTCCAAAAAATATGTTCGTTTACTTCCAAAGTAAAATAGGTTCGTTATTTCCAAAGTAAAATATATGTTCGTTTATTTCCAAAGTAAAATATTGTTCGTTTACTTCCAAAGTAAAATATGTTCGTTTATTTCCAAAGTAAAATATGTTCGTTTCTACCTCATGAGCCTTGATAATATTATGATACTTTCTACTTATTTTCAGGTCAATATTCAATCATGGCAATATCAATACTGATGAGTTAATTTCCGTAACAAACAATAGATTTTTTAAAAACTCATTCGTTACCAAACACACACACACACACACACACACACACACACACACACACACACACACACACACACACACACACACACACACACACACACACACACACACACACACACACACACACACATTCACTCACTGACTTTTTACATAGATTGTAGAGATGTAAATCTAATTTAATAATAATAATAATAATAATAATAAAACTGGGCCAGCTTTTAAGAAATTAAAACAGCAATTTTATTTCCAGCGCTAGTAAGCTAGAAAAAACGATTGTTTTATTCTTTCAATCTATTTTTCTTCGTGATAATAATGATAATAATAATGCCAAGAATAATAACAAGGATAAAGAAATAATGGTGATAACAAAAATCGTATCAATAATAATGATGATGACAATAATGATGATGATAATAATTTCTAATATTACCATTATCATTATCACTATCATCATCATGATAATAATGATGGTAATGATAATAATCATCATGTATCATTGTCAATATAATTATTTACATAATAATAACAATAGCAAAATAATGATAACAATAATAACAAAATAAATAATGATAATAATGATAAATGATAATATTAATAACAAATGATAATAACAATAATAATAACAAATGATAATGATAATGATCATAATAATAATGATAACAATAACAGAATAATAATGACGATAATAACAATATTAGTAGTAACAACATCAACAATGCTAATATGTAGAAAAGATATGAATGAGAATAAATATCTTCACAATACAATAGATGTATTTGACGGTTTTCGAATAAATCTTGGTATTTCTGACGAAGATGTAATCGAAGCCGGTCAAATACATCTCTTGTATTGTGAAGATATTTCAGTCACATTCATACCTTTTCTACATTTGTCAACCTGAATGCGGTTCATGATGATAATAATAATCATAATCTTTATAATAATAATAATAATAATAATAATAATGATAATAACAATAATGATAATAATAACAATAATAATGATAATAATCTTTATAAAAAAATAATAATAATAATAATTAATAATAATAATCAATCATAATAAAAATGATAATGATAATGACAATAAGCTAATTTATGGCAGCCAGAAGATTAATACTACCCTACATTAATCGTAGGTTAATAACACCGCACAAATAGTTGCTTTTACAAGTAATTAACTGATACTTCTTATTTTCGATAAATTGGAATAATAAAGAATGACAGAGAAGGGGTGATAAAAAAATTAGTTTTACTGTACAATACCATGATGTGATGCGCATTGCTGTGTTTTCAAACTGTAGTACATTTTACACCTATAACCTTTAGTACATGTACCTTTAGTCTTCCTATTTCACGGGTAAGCCCTGTAAAAACAATAATTACTACAACTGACAAAGAGTGAACATTATGACATCAAGCAGAAAGTTAACCTAAAATATATACCGTGTGCATGGAACTACAGGAAGCCATCCCTGTGGTATTTCAGCGTCAGCAAATCCTTTTCCTGTCTTTCTTTGAACTTTTCTGAGCACGCGTTTCTTCCACATGGCGGTCCTTGTGTTTTTATTAGTTTAGTTTATTTCTATTTATTTATTTTTTGCTTCTGCTTCCGGGATTGAATATTTGTCGCGAAACCAAGATGAAAACCTAAACAAACACTTACCACTATGAAAACACAAGCAAGAATTTAGATTCGTACAATAAAAGAAAGAAAGAAACGAAAACCGACAGCAAAGGAGACTCATATAATTCTTTAAGAGGAACATGTTGACTTCTGGGCGCTTTTCCTCC